CAGCAGGATTTCACACGTAGATCATAACTAGAATCTAGCGAGGCTGGACAAATACCTAAATTAAATTAGCTCATAGTCCCTGTGTGTAATGCAAAAGCAGGAAGAAAATTGCAAACACTTTTGTGGAGCTCTGTTGACTCTACAGGAGTGACCAGTAACGTTTCTGTTACTAAGACAAACTTGATGCTTATGATGAAGTTAATGGAGTGTAAAGATGCCCTCCTCTCCTCACCTTTCGAACAAAGCAGTCAGCATATCTTAATTAGAAATATGTTGGCACTATGAACAGGAAGAGCAAGTCTCAACATGACTGTCTCTGAAGCCGAACACTTCTATAATTTGAAAATCTCTTCTGAGGCTCTGCTTTGTTCACCAGAGAGCTGTAAACAGTCTCCAGTTTGTGCTGCATGTTGCTACCAGTAAAAATTGAGTAACGACATGTAATGAGTTTTGCCTATTGATTTAAGATGGAAGTTCTCTCTACTGATGAATGACTATTACTAGTTCATCTTGCTCTGGATTCCTCTGTGCACTGTATTACATTGATTTGTTCTGCTGCCAAACAACAGCTTGTGAAGTTTTTTTTTTTTTTTTCTTTTTTAATGTTCCTGTTGGTATGTTACTTCTCTGGTAGTTCTGTCTTGGCTCCTTTGTCTTTTTTGCACAGCCTTCACTCCTGCTGCTTCTGTTTGGCATTGTGTTTATTCTTACTGTGTAATCTATGCTCTTTCTTCTTACCTCATGCTTCTAATTTATTACCTTCATTCCCCTCTAATGTCTACTCCTTCCCTTCTTTTTCTTCAGCAGCAGAAATACCACTCTTCTGGCTTGTATTCACTGGTGGCTTACAAGAGGCTAGAGAAGCTGGTACAGGTTGTTGTAAAGAGTCATAGTAATATTAAATGTCTGTAAGTGACCTGTTTTTTATTGGAGGAGACTGGTGAAGTGTTACTTCAGTGTAGCATCTGCACATGAACAAAAGTTTGAAATTTGCCTAACTTCCCTTTCCCCAGTGCTTGCACATCAGCTTCTCTGGAGCCTTCCTATGTTTTGCGGGCAATCGGAACAGATGAAGACTTGGCTCACTCATCTATAAGGTGTGTGGAGTGGCCTTCCCTAATGCTTCCAAATATTTTTCTTTTCTGCTGAAAGTAGGTGGTGGATCTGTTCCATCCCTCTATGCACGTTATTCTAGTCCTTAATGGTTTTCTTTTGGTTTAGATTTGGCATTGGTCGTTTCACTACAGAAGAAGAAGTGGATTATACAGTGCAGAAGTGCATACAGCACGTTAAGAGGCTGAGGGAAATGAGGTGAGCCATCTTCTTATTGAATGTAAAGACCTCTTGGGTATGATAATCAGTTGATGAGGTTGATTTAGTTGAGAGTAATTGCTTCAAAGATCTGGCGGTGTCTCTGTATATAAGCAAGCAGTGTTGCCAGGGTGGGTAGTGGGCCTGATGTTAACAGTTGTGACAATTTTTTAAGGAAACAAACCTGACAAACATTCTCCCAGATGCTTTGTTTGGCAGGGAAAGAATATGAGTAGGGCATGCAGGTATGGCAGTACCTAGAAGTTTCTAAGCCAGAGATGGTGTTACTGAGTTTGTTTATTGATAAGTTGTTTTATTTTGGTGAAACTGAATGACTTCTGACTCATCTGGACAGTGTCAAATGTGAGGGCTCAGTCTCTGACAGACACGAATTCTTTATGCGCAAAGTCGGAGCAGGAAATGAGGTGGAGCACCTGCACTCTCACCTCTCTCATTTTGGGCTGAGGACACAGTTGAGGATTGATCATCTGAAGCTCACTGACCTCCAGAAGGAGAGGATAGGTAGATGGGTATCTCCTAATTTCTTGTGTAGTTGATGAAATTGCTTGGTTATTGTTGATGTCATCCTGTGCATTTTAGATAGCCCTCATTTTTCTCCTTTCTTTACAGCCCCCTCTGGGAAATGGTGCAGGATGGAATTGACCTCAAAAGCATTAAATGGACTCAGCACTGAGAAAACATTGCTATCCATGGACTAGATGTGGATTAAAATGCATTTTCTGTACTTTCCTGAACAAACTATGCAGCACCGATGTTTTCTCACACTTGCAATTTGACTGGAAAATTACCCTTTATGATCACAAAGCCAAAAGAAGCCAAAAATTCAACTAGTCTTTATCCTGGAGAAAGGCAGGATGATGTAACACCCATTGCATTTATACTGACACACAGAAATTTATGCTAAAACATAATTTACTTGGAAAGGTATTTTCTAATAAGAAAATGAAATCAGTGTGTTACTCCTGGACCAGTGGAATCCTGGCGAGAACTTGTTGCTTCTCAGTGTAAAACATCCTGTTCTGTTTGTGGCACAGACCTATTGCCAGGCCTAACGTTCTTTCTGTTTGAGGCAGGCATCCTGCAACAGCAGCTGCTTTTGTGCTGCTCAGATGCGTTGCATTGCAAGAAATTCTCAGATAGGAAGAAGCTTGGCATTTCTGGAGGAAAAGGATGCCTCAGTGTGGCTATGTGCCTTCACAATTAAGTTGTACATGCAGTTAAGAACAATTTTTTTTTCCTGAAACCAAGTATTTTTGCCTCTTTTGCCTTGGTTTTATCTTTTTTTTGGTGCATGATGCTTGTACAGACCAATGTGCATTAATCCAAAACATCTTTCTGCATTACAGAACTTAAGATACAATGATGATGCACTTTTCTGTCCTCTCCATTGTGTTTTTTCCATGCAATTTTTTTTCTAAGTAAGGAAAGAAAACTTGAATGGCTGGCAAGGGGGTTAGGCACAGAGTATGTCAGCTTCAGTTGCAGTACCAGTTTAGTTGGAACATGAGTGATGGTGGTGGGGAGAGCAGATAAAGTGTGGTCTTAATGCAGTCTGGGTTTTTTGTTGTTTTGTTTCTTTTTTTCTCCCCTTGTGATTAGTCCTTTGCTGTTACTCAGGATTCACCTATGGGCCATTGGCTGCTCTCACTTTAGGGAGTCTTGCCCAGTTGAGCCTGGATGTTTTGTCTGGAGATAAGAACATGTGGCTCTGGAGTTTTCTCTGTGTGACAGACTGTACTTCTGTCTGACTAGAGACTTACATAGGAATCTGTTCCCTGCAAACACTGGGGGGAAAGTGTCTGTTAAAAAAAGTTTGATGAGATTAATTCATATCAGTGTTTCTCCTTTCATACCTTTGTTGATCTTTCCAGCAGGAAACTTAACCCCGTATTACGAAGTGCCTTTCAGTTGCATACGCAGACAGCTCTCAAATTAGTTTTGTTGATTGATGGATGCTGTATTAGCTGGTGAATTTAATATACCCTATTGACGGTGTGTCTTCAGTTCTGGATGGTACCTACCTCAAGGATGAACCATGTAATGTCAAAGCTGAAGCTAAGTCTCATGAGGTGGATTGTGTTACAGAAGCTTGTTCTTTTTTGTTTTGTTTTGTTACCAAGGACAGATTCAGTTGTTTGTAATGCAAAGCTAATCCTCAGTTGTTCTATTTGAAATTACTAGCTTTAGTAGTTTTAATACTGTAGGGCTGGCACCTTATACTTAATCAAAACATTTTTAAAGCTACCATATGCATAAATAGGTTTTAGAGGTGTTCTATGTACTATGTTTTATCCTTGGGCCATATATGTTTTCTGGATTACGCATGTGATACCACTTTCCCAGCATGTTTTAGAACTATATGTTTATAAAATTGTTCTTTGTGTTTCATAGATGATAAAAGACATAGATAAGACTTAAACTTGGCTACTTTCAGTCCTTTCAGATCCCCCTTTCTGGCTGAACTATGCAGCACAATCAGACAGGGCTCTGAGCAACCTGATGTTGTCGAAGATGTCCCTGCTTATTGCAGGGAGGGGCGGGGGGGGGGCGGACTACATGACCTTTAAAGGTGCCTTCCAACCCAGACTATTCTATGATTGTATGAAATTGCAGCCTTTCATTAGAGAACAGAGAAAGATAAACTCCCAAGTTTTCTGGGAGCACTGTTAGAAACTCTTTCTGTCATGAAGCTGACATTTTTTTGATGAGTCATTCTTCTCAAGCTCAGTGCCTGATCTGACCTTTTAAACTCAAATAGCTTAAATTATTATTTTGAGAAAAGGGAGCCCCAAATCTTCAAGATTCTGAGCACCTCTTAGATTTAAAATATAAATTCTATATGTAAAGGTTTGGGCAAATCATTCACACTGTTCACAAATGTTTGTCCTATAAGCATTTTCAAACAAGATGAGGACAAATTTATAGTGGAGATACTTTTCCCCATGACAGAAAGAAGTAATGCCAAGGATGAATGTCTATTTGTAGACCACTGAATGCAGTTAAAGCTTTTTGTGTGCGGAGGTAAGTTTCTTTGGGAGGAGAATATTTAAAAACGGAAATGCCTGTAACTTGGAAGTGAAGGAGCCATGGGGTTTTGTGAGGGCTTTTTTGGTGATTAATTGGAGCCATCTGCAGGGCATTAAATTAATAATACAAGGTGATGATACCAGCGAGGTGAAGATTTAGTGTTGCCATTTTGCAAGTGTCATAAAAATTGAACCAATGTGATAAATGGGAATAAAATAAACTTCAGTAGTGCAAGATGGTTAGGTAATACACAAGGGGAGAAAAAAATTCTCCGTGACAGATTTTAGTGTTTCTAAAAGCTGATAGAGCATATCACCTAACTATAAAAATTAGTGAATATTTCTTCAGGAAGGATAATACAGAATTAGACAGTTACCTGTTCGGGACTTGAGGAGATGGAGAGGAAGATGGCCAGTTAACAGGTTTGTTGATAATGTTATATAGCCAGGCATAAACTTATTTGGGATTTTTTTAAAAGTGATAAATTAACATAAACACTATTGCTCCCAACAAAATACCACCTCTTATTGTCAATCTTGTATCTGCCTGATTGGTTGACTTGCTGTTCTCTGTCTGGTGTGACTTCAGTCACGATCCAACTGTCTTTGGTCAAATTGTTTCTGCTAACAACATGTATGTCCTGTGCTTTGAAATGATACAGTTTCCCAAAGCTGAGTGCCAAAAAGTTGGCCTAAGAGATCTCTTCTCCACTAAAGACGGTTTTGATTAAATTTCAGGATGGTGAGTGAATAAGGCCCTGCACTGGAAGAAAGCAAATGCCAGTTTTTAAAATAGACAAGCTGAGAGAACTGAGCACTCTGACAGATGGTGTTCCTCACAACTATCCGAAACAGAGTAATAAAAAGAGGCTGGCACAAGATGCTTTTCTAAGAAGAAAAGCTCTTAATAATGAGCAATCAAAGTGGTTTTGTGCTGAGTAGGCATAGTAAAACAAACAAGGTGTTTAGTTTACTTTTGGAAAGTAACTATGCAGGATCACTAAGGCACATCACAGAATCACAGAAACACTAGGTTG